ATGCAAACAAAACACACGAAAAGTCCTTTATTGGGCAAGCATTGAGTTGTGTGGCTCTAATGCCTACAAAAAGTTGATCACATGAATGCAAAATATACGACAAACCCTTTACTTATTCTATGCTTAAGGTAACACCATGTGCTCGTTAGGGATGAGTAGTGGATATATCAATTGTCCAAGTTAATTGAATCAAATTAATTTGTCATATTTTGAATAAATGTGTAATGATAAGTGGACGATTGTAGATTGATTTTTTTAAATCTGTCTAATTTTGGACGGATGACAGATTTGAAATTCCTTTGACCGCAACCGAACCCCCAAACCGTGAGCATTCTTAGTAATTTGTAAGACTTTATGTTTTCAATTTGTTTAAATATTCTATTTGTATTTTCAATTAAAAAAAAATTTAAATATTCTATTGAAAAAGAGTTTTTAACTTGAATATATTTTTTCAATTGAAAAAAATAAATATATTATTTATCTATATTTTTTAATTTTTAAATCTAACTCTAAAAATAATAAATAAAAAAAGATAATATATGCTGATTTATTTTTATTTTCAAAAACAAATACAAATATAATAATACAAAGGCATACAATCTCTACTACTGTTCTGTTCATGATTTTAGTGATTTGAATTATTTTTATATTTTAAATACCACATATTGTAATGCTTTATATAATACTTTATGTGGATGGTGATTGTAATATGTGAATGAAACATGCACTGATTGTAATACTTTTTTAAGTCATTGATTGTAATACTTTTTTTTTTTTTTATGAGAAAATGCACAAGTTGAATGATATTAAAAATTTATAAAATTTTAAACTGTCAAATCAATTCACATTCATCCGCTAATCCGCTTAATTCACAACCGTCAGATTGGCAGACAGATGCAGATTAATTTTTTACAATCTGTCAATTTGACAAACGAATGACAGATTAAAGATCCTATAACCGCAACCGACCCACGCCCTCCCTTAATGGTCATGTGCTCGATAAGGATAATCATGTGCTCAACAAGAAATATGTAACCATTTTCCGAGGAAAATATGGACAAATGACTGCATCTTATTCGACCAACAGTCACGTTGAAGTTCCATTCCTATCCAATAATTTGTTTTATTGGACTCGAATGCCCAAAAAAATAAATAAAAAATAAAAAACTGGACAACTTTGTGAAAACAACACAATCGGTGATCATGTAGGCAAACCGAAACTTTTTCTGAAAAAAAAAAAAATTTAAATTAAAATTAAAAGTAGCACTTAAATGGAGTTACGCAGAAACACATTGGAGAGGGTTTAGAATAAGTGTGCAACTTCTTTATATGCTTCAGAAGTAGACACCATTCCAAAGTTTTTTCCTCATTAGAAACACAAGAAGAAAAAAGAAACATACAAAATGATAAAGGCAATATAAACACAAGCAAACTGGTTGTTATTAGCTGATCTAAGAACCATTTCTCAGCATTGTGGTGCTCTTTCTTTACTTGGTGATGCTTGGGCAATTACTCACAGTTGCCATTCAAATGTTGTTCTCTTCTAATGTTCAGTAACTCGGTTTCTATTTAAATCTCTCCTTAGCATGATAAAAGGCTGCAAAAGAAGAAATTACAATAGGCTGCTGGCGAATAGCCCACAAAGTTGCCGCCTTGCCACCTCTCTCCTCTTGAGAGCAACTCACTTTCTTGTGGTTCAGAGAGTTTCCATTTGTGTTTGGATCAAGAAGTGTTTTTCTGTTCGTTTCCTTTGGATTTAGCATTCGATTGATTGTTTCTTTTTGAGGGTTGATAGGGAGTGGTAGTTGGTGTTGGTAAGTGGTGGGGCTGTATCTTTACTTTCTTCTTCTGGCATTGTCTTCATTCTGTCCTTGGAACTTTGCCTAGTTTGGGTCTGTTTGTTGGTGGGTAGTGTGGTCCACTGTACTGGCTTTGTCGAGTTAAGGCAGAAAGGTACGAGAGTCTCGCCATGAAGGGAATTGGACGGATAATAGTGATGCGGGAGGCAGTGAATATTGAGAGGAAAGATTGCTTTTTTACATCTGCACCATTTTCTCCCTCCCCAACAGGCCAATGTGAGGAATGGTATCAGCATGGACATGCGGGAGGCAACTTGGGAGCTCGGGGAGCAGGATTTATGGAGGTGTTTGTTGGGGTTACTCCATGATAAGAGGCAATCTGTTTCTTACATCGTGCAACATTTTGTGGATGAGAATTGGTGTGTAGATGGCACTGTTAAAGTTTACGGACGTTATAAAAAGTTCTGTCTTTGGGCATGAGCGTGACATGCACAAGGTAGCTTCCAATGGTTCATATGTTATTGATGGCGCTTTGCTTACTGTGGATTATTGGCAACAAGGTCTGGTCCTGGAACATTTGTTTATTGAGCACTTTGCGGTTTGGATTCAACTTCATGGGCTGCCGTTGGAATGTTGTACTAAGAAGCTGGGTTTCGGTTGGGTCAAACGGTTGGAGAGGTTATCCGGGTCGATCTAGATCCAGTATTACAAAGGAATATTCACTTTCTACTCTGGATTCCAATGGAGAAACCACTAATACGAGGTTTTTTCTTAAAATTCTGGGATGGTAGGCATCGGTGGATTGCATATAGCTATGAACGGGTATATAAAGTCGCAATTGTGGTAAGATTGGGCATAAGGTGTCGCAATGTGAGTTAACATTTGAAGACACTGCAGCCTTGCTCGATGCACATCTAGAAAAGTGCAGTCAACGTCTGGGTACAGTAGTGTTAACTCAGGCCAGTCAACCCATGTACTCGTCCTCAATTCATGCCTTTGTGCATCGTCATAGTAGGCATACAACGCAAATTCAAAATGCTCCAGCCCAACGTTCAATACCAGAGATGGTTTTTGCTCAGGAACAAGAAGGCTTAGAGAGAAACTCAAATTCATTCGTGGATTCTTTTGTGGAAGATTAGGATAGGAGTTGGGACCGAGGCCTGGAAAATGCCCAGGTTGCGAGTGAGGATGGCAGTCTGCATAAACATGGGTGGAACATGATACTCCGGCAGGGAAAGGAGAGTCTGGGCAGCAGAGTAAACAGAGGCTTATAGTCCCTGTTGGACGAGCCGGTCAACTCGGTAGGTGAAATGGAATTATTGTGGAACATATGGGCAAATAGACTTCAAGCTTTGGGAATTAACGCAGGGCAGTTAGTGATGGACCCTAAGCATAGTGAAGTGATGGGCTAACTGCGTGGGGTTAATTCCTTTGAACACATGGATATGGTAGTAAGTGGTCAGAACTGTCTTGTGGGGTTTGAAGAAATAATAGGCGTAGAAGATACTATAAACACCATACGGAGAATTGGGCTGGGCCGTAGGCTAAACATCCCCTTGAAAGAGAGTCTGATTCAACAAAGGGCTTTGTCATTCATGAGCCCATAAGTGAAAGCCCAAACAGTCCAGTACTTGTAGATAGATCAAATTGGTTTGATAAAGGTAAGGAGTTAGTTGGCCCAGTCGGGCCGGTTCCAAGTGAAGGCAGTTCTTTGGGATTCACCTTTTGGGCCTCTAGTTAAAAAGCGGTTCATGGTAATGGGCCAAAATGAGGGGTGCTCAGGTGCGTTGGAATTACTGAAACTAATTCCAAATCGTTGGGTCCTCCTTGGAATGGAGGTTTAGGATCCCTCGTACATGACTGAGGTGCCCTTCGGACGCAGTAGTGATATGCCATTAATCATGTTTCTTCCAATGACGAAAGCCAAGGTGTGGTCGTGTTGGGAGGAGAGGTGGAAAGGATGAACGAAAAAGAGGCATCGTTTCAGATCGGAAATAAAAAAAAAAAAAACCCCTGTCCGGCACATCAGAGGGTCAATGTGGCAAAGGGACTGTTTGGAGATAAGGGCAAGCAGACGGCCTTGGCGAGGGGAAAATTAGGGGATCGGGGTAAAGGATCAGGGGAAGGCAGCTTAAGAATCCAAAAATGAAAATGCGAAGACGGTAACAATGAGAACTGCTCTAAGACCTATATTTCAAACTCGAGGTATGATTCAAGCAAGAGTTCTCCAGAAAGTCAATAAAGGGGTAGCCCCGAATTGAGCTGAGATGGAGCAGTTTTACGTTGAGATGGAAACAGCTAGAATGACGGATTGGTATTGATGCCACAACATGAGCTTATCCAAGGGATTTCTCATGACATTAGATTGTCTCGCAACAACCTCCTCAATCGCCCTGAGAATTCTAAGCCAGAACTACAGGGGTTTGGGTCACCCCCTAACAGTTCGGTCAGCTTGTCAATTGACCCAGCTCCATCATCCAAATTTGATTTTCTTGTATGAAACAAAGAAGGCAGTAAAAGGCTTACAATAGTTTGGTATGACCTTAGGTTTCAAGAATTGATGTGGTTCTGATAATAGGGGATTGAGTGGTGGCCTTTAGGTGGCATGGGATGATACTCAAACATCAGGGTGGTCCAATGTCTATACAAGATCATTCTTTTGGGATTGGGAATGTAACTGAACGGATATGGTTTTTATTTTTAGTATATGGTGATTTAATGGTTTCTTAGAGAACAAATGTGTGGACTTTGGAAAATTCATTCAGTGGGCTTCAGGCACCTTGTGCAATCATGGGAGGTTTTAATCAGGTGTTGATTAGAATCATCTAAAATATGTCAAACTTCACCTCTCATTTTCATGTGGTTGAGAGAGAGAGAGAGAGAGAGAACAGTTTGTTTCACAAGATTCGGCATCACTAAGTAGAACTAGCATATGAAATTTTTAATCAAGAATGGCATGATTACATGACAACCATGTAGTGGAAATTCATGAATTACTAACCATGCTCAGAAAAAGAGACTTCCTACCGTACGTTTTACCAAATTACAAATTTTTTGACAAGAGGAAACCTAGTTAAACCTTACCAAAAAAAACTAGCAAAGCATATTTACGAGCACGTATATAGGAAAATCAATTCTAACAAAAATCATCACTTAAACAATAGACCATGCAAAATTGATTCAACTTAAGATGCTAAAATGGATTCAACCATGCCATCATTTAAGGTGCTAGGAACCATAGTAATCTTAGCTTTCAAAAACATACGGAGATACAGTTACGAAAGCATAATAAACTGTTGGGAACCACAATAAATCTCAACTTTCAATACAAAAAGAGAAACAGGAATTCTTTTATTAGAAGACATAACCTTACTTTCTCCACAAATAAAGCTGCGACATCATAAGAAGCACCTTCTCATTCTTTCTGTTTTCTCTGACAACTTATTATCTAACACAGAACTACTCTCCCATTGCTTCAGCATCAATCCTGAAAAAAATAAGGTCTGTAATGTTAGAAGTAAAATGTGCCAGGGTAATAAGTAATTAGGCTCTGTTTGTATTTATGGATTTGAAATGCATTCATATAAGGAGAAAGCAAGACAAATAACTCAAACTTAGATTTGATAGTTTTTCCAAGTATTTAAAGATTATATTAAAGAGCTTTATCATGATGAATTTGAAATACCTATGCAAAAGTAGTTATTTGAAATTATGCTAAGGATTCCCCTTTTAGCTACAAAGATGCTACTAAAATACATCTTTTCTAATTTTTCTATCCACCTATAATAGGTAAATATTTTTATAAAAACCAATCTGAAATCCCTAAATTTGAAATCCACATCAATCCAAACAGAGCATTATAGACTATAGATGACAGTGATTTTGCAGGTTAAAAAGAGGAATTGAAAAAAAAAACACACACACAATTTTTTCACATGCTCAAAGATTGCCTCGTCTCCCTAGCATCAAATTGAATAACTCAATACAATCTTTGCTAGTGCAATCACAATTCATCCATACATGAATGTCATTGCACAAATTAGCCAAATTTGGTCAAATTAGAGATAAAGTATGGGCTGTCGATTAGAGCATACCATGATTTGGATACACACCTGAACTAGAGGAGTGGTTTCACCAGCAGTCTCGACAGTATGTCAACCATCATTCGATGTTTTAGGGTTTGTCGCGGTTTTGGCTACGAACAAACTAAAGCTCGGTCAAATTTTTGTTAAAATATTTTTATATTATCTAGTTCAGTGTTATTAAAGGCGGTAGGCGCACCACGGTGCCAAAGTCTCCTAGGGCCTAGGCTCAAGGCGAGGCGCACATTTCACTGAAGTGAGGCACACCTTATACGGAAAAAAATATATAATTTAATATAAGTAAATAATTTAGAATTCAACATAAACAATATGAAATGTTATACATTTAGACCTTGTTTGGTTTGTATTTGAGAAACATATTTTGAGATAAAAAGTACGAAAATTTGTTTGGTTTAGTTTTTTTTCAAAAGATGTTTTGAAAAATTATTTTGAAAGAGAGTTTTGGAAAAAGTGATTGATTTGATGCGTATGAGAGAGAGATTTGTTTGGAAAATTTGTAAACCAAACTAGTTTTGGAAAATTTTTTTGGAAAATTTTTTTTGGTTTGATTACTTTTGAAAACTTATTTGTAGAGAATTTTTCCCAAAATTTTTTGAGAAACACAAACCAAACAAGGCCTTAGTGTTTTTTGGAGACTATGAATTAGGGCTACTCATTCTTCTATCATTGATTTGGGGTTGAATGTCCAATGTATTGGCATCTATAATAAAAGTAGGGATCTTCTATAGCTGCACCATATTAAATCACTGATCAAATTTTAAACAAAATCAATTAAAACAACAATAAAAAAAACCCTCAAGACACAAGCATTGGGCTAGTCAGGCACCTTATCACAGTTGCCTGGCCTGGAACACTACAAGGCGCAAACCTTAGGCCCGGACGAGACTTGCGCCTAAGCGCGCCTTATCGAAGTCGCCTGGCCTGGAACATTACAAGACGCAAACCTTTGGCCTGGATGGGACTTGGGCCTAAGCGTCTAGGTGCGCCTTTAATAACACTGATCTAGTCGCTTTCTTAAATACACTTTTACCCAACTCCTTATTTTTTTCCAATCCATTTACGTAATTTTAATTTATTTTTTTATTACGTTATCCAATCATCAATTTTTTAAGAGTTGTTAAGAATATAACGGTGTAAAGTGATCGTTTAAAAAACAATATAACTGTTTAATAAGATCAATAAAAAAAAGTATGATCATCATTACAAAGTACAGTTGCTAAAGAGGTGGCTGTTTCAAAATAAAAAAATTTATGTAATTTAAATTTTTTTCAAAACTAATTTAGTATCAAATTATATTTTGAGATTGTATTTTAATGACTGTTATATTAAGGTAAGGTGTTTAAATTTTTAAGTTTAATTAGTTTAATCTTAATTTCAAGAATTAAAATATGTAACATAATGCACCCCAACACCTTACGAAAGATAATGTTGTTCAAAATAATAGCTAAACCAAGAAAACAAAAACAAAGTGATCGCCCAAATCAATTTGAGAAATCTGTAGTATGGGTGTACATTTACTTTCACAAGCTCAAAGACTGTATCTAGCATCAAATTAAATAACTCCATCCAATCTTTGCTAATATAAAATTCATCCATTTATGAATGCCATTGCACAAACTAGCCAAATTTGGTCAAATCAAAGATAAACCATCCTTACTTGGCAGTTCTTTAGAAGATAATAGATGAAATTCATTATCCTACCTCAACACCTTCTTGCTCCTTCTAGCAGTGGCTTACAGCAGCAGCTTGAACCTCTTTTGACAGGAAATCATAACTAACAGAAACAAAATCCAACATACAAAAGATTAAGTGACACGAAGCTAAATAAGAAGAGCATTAGTAAAATTCTCACGTTTTACTAGAGGCAATAACTCTTAAATAGTTTGTGTTAGTTGTCGTGATATTTGATGTGTTAAATTTGTGTTCTTCATTATGAAATTAGTTTATAATATTTTTGTGATACACATTAAAGTTATGATTACCAACCTTTCTATCTTGACAGTTTTACCATTCATTAGATTTCAGATTGGAAACAACGTCTTTCTACTTCTGTTATTTCTTTTACCATTCAAGGTGAATCACAATCCTTCATTTCCATCCATGCATATATGTTCTCTGTTTCTTCTCTTCGTTCCATTTTGTATGAGAATTTCAAGAGGGTCTTACAACCTGAAACAAAAAACCTAACCCTTCTTCAACAAAAAAAAAAAAAAACAAAAACAAAAATTCAAACTCATCTCTTGATCTAAGAGTCATATAATATGATCTTCTCAGTATTCTAATATGTTGCTTGCTGAGATGTTGCCGATCTGGATAAACCCAACATATACAGCCATCATCGTCATCTTCAATTCCAGGAATAAGGAAGACTAGAAAAGGAATTTGAGAGAGATCAAAGAGGGGGATGGGATGAGGGAGATCAAGAAGGAATAGGGTTCAATTGGTTGATCAAACGGAGGGGAGTCACTGGTTGCAATGTTGCAGATTGTAGATGAGAGAGAGAGAGAGAGAGACAATCTAGAATGATGAGATAGAGACAGAGAGAGATGTAATAAGCTCGTAATCCCAACCTCATACAGTTTTCAATCCACGTGTACAATTATTTGAATAAAATATGTTTCGATCAGTTCAGTTTCGACGGGTGAAGATTTTATAAACCCGAAACCGACCGAAACCTGAAGACATATTAAATTCACAAACCTAGCCAATCATATACCGCATCAAAATCACCTGTAGTGCCTCGGATCGAGTTGGTTCGGATGGGTGAATCAGGTGCATGAACAATCCAAATTGTTTTGTACTTGGTACTTGAAGATAAGTAGCATAATTCAGGCTATTAAAAAAATCAAATGCAACAATAATCTTCTTAATCACAGTATTTTACAAGTTTCAAATGGATTAAATTTGAAAGTAGAATGTTATAAATAGAATACAGACAAAGTTTAAAATGAATTTGTTCCCTATCAATGTTCAAACAATATTACCATGTCACTAGTAGTTATAAATACAGACATTGATGTTTGCATTTTTTTCTCCACAAAATAGCACTTTCTTAGAAACTACAATTCTAAGTACTTGGAGCTTAAATCAATATAACAAATCTTTGAATTTTATTTACGGACATGTGAAGTTAATATTTCACTTTTATGTTTAGTTCTTAAAAACTTGTCAACTTTTTTGAGTATATGTATTGTCTAACTCCTAAGATTTTGTATATTATGAACTTTGTTTAATTTGTATGATTTGTATGTATATAAATCTTCTAAAATTGCTTTCATTTAACTTTGCAGTTACATTTTTATGAAAACACTATGTTGTAAACCTCTTACTAAAAAAATGTGCACGCCACAGGCAAGATCTACCGTGCAACACACGGTGCCATGAAACTAGTATACTATATAAAGAAAATCTATTTTCATCCAATAAAATATATTTGATCATGTCATTTAATGAATCATAATTACATCTACGACAAACAATGCCAAGCAAAATTTAGCACCATTTACAAAATAGCACAAGCAAATAAGGCACAATGACTTAATTTTTGTTTACCTTCTAATGACCTTTTCCTTCTTTTTGTCTTTTGTTGCTTGGTCCTTGCTATCATCCGGACGACCACCATCAAGTGGGACAAGGCTACCCAAGCATACAGTTGTTCCGAAATGATCTGGCTCACCATTAATCCCAACCATCTCAATTGTCTTCTTTTCTAAGTCATACCAACGAAACGAACAAAAGTCAAGTTGGAAGAGAACCTTCTTACCATTCTTTGAATATGGCAAGGGCTCCAAATAAATAGCAAACCTTATATTCGATTGCTCAATGCAGATCAATTTAGTCCAAGATTCCTTCACTCCATACTCCTTCATCACCCATAAATCAACACCCTTCTTGAGATAATAGTGACGCACACAAAGGCATCCATTCAAGACTTCAAACTTCAAATAAAAATCAACAGCCCCACACTCGGGTAGGGACACCATTCGGTATTCCTCCGCCCCAAGATCGAATGCAATAAGAGCGTGAGGTCCATCCTCACGCAACATTGGTTTTGGATTCACACTCCAACGCAAAGCTCCACCAACAAGTTAGCCAGTGCAAAGATCAAGTTCAAGGTGATGAGGAAAATCACCAACTTTCCTCCAAGAATTCCATTTTAAACTATAAACCCTAACTTCGGATTCATAATGCACAAATCTGTAATCATTAATCCGGGCAATCCTCATCACCTTGTAATCATCACTCACTGAGTCGTACCCAAGTCCAAAAAGATTAACCAGCACACCACGGAAATCCACAGGGGTTTCGGTCAGGAGACCGGCAATTCCAAATGCTTTCGAGTTGATGGGTTTCACAAAATAGCTTGTCCCTCTCCGAAAGACAAACAGAGCAAGCCATTGCAGGAATTCCAAACTTTATCCAATCGTTTCTCAAACGTGAGTGGTGGATTGAGCTTAAAAGCTATGTCGAGCTTATCGAAATCTACGGAGCATAGTTGGTTTGGGATGGGTGCGTTAAAGTCATAGAAAATGAGGGAGAGATTGGATCGGGATTGAATCGATCGATTAAGATGCATTTTGATGAAGTTTGGGCTGTCGATTAGGGAACGCCATGGTTTGTATACGCACCTGAATTGGAGAAGTGGTTTCACCGGCAGTCTAGAGAGTATCTCGGTGATCGCCTCCGGCGGAAGCTCCGGCAACAGTCTCTCCATTAGGGTTTGTGAAGGTTTTGGAGAAATGTAGAACAATGCTTAAGAACATCTCCATTTGTTATAAAAGGAAAGTGTCCTTCAGGCCTTGTTTGGAACATCGGTTTTAGACAAAAAGTTGATTTATCAAACTATTTTCTCATTTTTTTTTTTACATTATTTTCAGGTAAAAAGTCAAAAATAATTTAAAAAGTCAATTTTTAAATAGAAGGTCAAAAAAGTTAAATTTTATTAAAAAAATATAAATAAATGAGACAATTTTAAAATAATTATATTATATGTGACTCTTTTTTTTTTTTTATTACACAAAAAAAACTTACACCAAAATACGGAATAAACTTGTACCATATACACAAGAGACTTGCACTGTTATAAAAATTAAATTATTCTCTCACTGTTCAATTAAAAAGTAATTTTTTCTTATTATTTTAGAAGTATTTATTAATACATTTTATTTTGAGTGTAGGCATTTATTAATGTAATGAGTAAATGAGTGTTTTGAAAATGTAACTAAAATGTATTTCTTCCGTCATAAATTGTTGGTTGATTTTTACAATTTCAAACATTTCAAAAAGGTGGTTTATATTTTTTAATTTATTCTTTTATTTTTAAGATTTTATCTGCCAGTATTAATGGGGATCTTTTAATTTGTTTTTACTAAAAATATAATCTATTGACTTGATTAAAGAACACAAATATAAAAATTTAACTAGCAATTTGAGACGGATGGTAAGTTAAATGTAAAAATTAAGTGAAAGTGTTTTTCACTTTCAACTGTTTCTTTGTATTTGCTCTATCTGTTTCTTAGTAATTTGTATTTGCTCTATCTGTTTCTTAGTAATTGGCAAAGAATGTAATGTCCCACGTAATTAATAAGAAGATCATTCCATTGGGGCTCATTTATTTTCAGAGGTAGAATAGAAAGAATTGGTAGTAAAAGGAATAATAGTGAAAGAATTTTTAGTGAGGTTATTAATAAAATTGTATTTATTTTGATAATAATTGTTAGTGTGGAATTGTCAAATTATTTTTATATAAAATAATAAAACAAATAAAATTATGATTTTTACTTAACAAAAAATATAAAATCATTAAACATTAATGTTAAAAAAATCTCACATCTTTTTGGAATGTTTGAAGAATCATATATTTCAAGACATTTTTTGCCTCCGTTTGGGAAGTGGGTTGGCTTTTTGGCTTTTTGGCTTTTTTGGCTATTTTAGCCTGGGCTAAAAAGCTTAGTTTGGGAAAGGCTTTTTGGCTTTTTGACTTTTTTGACTTTTTTTGTGAGAGAAGAATGTAATGATTATAGGTTGGATGTGATGTTTTGTTTGTCATGGCTAAAATAGCCTATTTTGTTTTTTGCGGCTAAAATAGCCAAAAAAGCCTGAAAAAGCCCTTGCCAAACACAGGCTACTCTTTTTGAAATATTTAAAGAATCTTACATTTGAAGTCATTTCAAATAAAATAAAATAAAATTCTCATATAAAAATTAATTCCAAATTTGATTATCTTAGGTTGTGTATCTTACCTAAAAAGAAAAAAAAGAAAAAAGAAAGAAGGAAATATAATAGAAATAAAAATATAACCATAAATTCAATTTACAAATAATACATTAAATCTACGTTTTTTAAAATCTACAAAATTAATTGGTCTATAAAAAATATTTTGAATTTAAATGAATTAACATTTCTTAAAATATGATTTATAGGTAAATTTTTCTTTAAACATGACTTAAAAACATCAATCATAACGTAAATGGAATACTTTTAGTTCATACACTTGTAATATTATTATCTTTAGTTTGTGTGCCCCGAGTCCCTAACAACATTTGCATGCTTTTATTTTTTAAAAAGAAATTGTTAATGCTTCTTTTTTTCTTTTTTTTTTCCTTTTTCTTTTTCTAAAGCAAAGATGATAAAATAGACTGAGAGTGCCCTACATGAAAAGTAAAGAGTAGACTTTGATGACAAAAATTTGAAAGAAAATCGAGAAAGAAGAAAAGATATGTGTATGTTCTTTTTAGGGAATTTTTTTTAAAGATCCCTATTAATATTTTATAACCTAAAGAATATGAAATATTTTAAAAATAGTTCGCAGTCCTTAAATTTTTATAGAGAAATTTCGATTCAAAGAAATTTTGAAACACAGAGAAATTTGTTTAAAATTTCTTTTGTTTAAAATTTTTCTGATTTGCTTACAAATTTTTCTATTTTTTGACCAATTTTTTTCTTTCTAATTTGTTCACAATTTTCTCTGTGTTTTGAACAAATCAGAGAAAATTGAGCTACTCACAAACCAATTTTTCTATAATTTTTACAAGAAAACATCATGCGAAATTCATCAAAGAACTTAAAATACAAAATCTAATTAACATTTAAAAAACAGCAAACAATTATAGCGACTTTGGTTTAAACCCGACCCATTTTGCATTCTAGACTCGGGTTTCATGGTTTCGTATTGTTGTTCATGTCTTACTTCTCTTATATTTCCTTGAATCTGACTATTGGATTGTAGTGGTTGCGTTTGGAACAAGCTAGTTGCTTATTTTTCAAACTTTTGTTGCCCAGAATTTTACCCCTTCGCTCAAGCATCACTTCTTGCGCTCAAACGGGCTTTGTGAACTCTCAGTACTTTTGCAGGTCTGCAAAATTACTAGGAGAGTGTATTTTACGCTCAGGCGGTGCTTTCTACACTCGAGCAGTCTCAGCTCAAGCAGTGTTTCTTGCACTCGAGTGTTGGTCTTCTGTCTGCAAAACTACTAGAAGTGTGTATTCTGCGCTCGAGCGTCATTTCTCGCGCTCGAGCGGAACAACTTGTTGCGTCTGGACACTCGAATATCACTTCTTGCGGTCGAGCAAACTGTGTGTATTTCAGTTCGTAATCAGGTCATTTCTCCTCACTTTTTCATCACTCTCTCTCTAAAACATTTCAAAACCCTAGATCAAGAGCTTCTCTCTCTAAAACTCCCTCTCTCTCTCTACATTTTTATCTAAATTTAGTAGTTTCTCTACCCGTGTGCCTTTGTTAAATAGATAGAACATCTCAAGGACTACGTTTTCATCCGAATAGAGTTGGGTTTCGGCTTCATCTGAGTTTCTTCCTTGCTTTGCTCATCTTTTAGTTTAGAGGTAAGGATTTTCTGCACTCTTCTACGGGTTTTAACTTAGTTATTTGTTTTTCATAAATAATATTGTGATTTTAAGGGATTTTGAATAAACCTAGGGTTTTGGTTTAAAATCAAAAGGGGGTTTTGCGAATGGATGTATTGAAAATAATTATGGGAGTGAATATGAGGTTGTGTTGCAAATAAATTGTTGATTTTGTCACTTAGGTTGGATTTTGGAAGAAAATGAAGTTTGTCCTAAAATGTCTCAAATATTTATTTTGTTTAAATAAATAGAATTGGTATTAGAAATATGAAATTGGATGGATGTTTATATAAATGATGAAGCTAGATATGTATTATCACTCACCTATGAAAATTTGAATGGTTTATCTGTCTTGGAGATTGTGTATCTGTTTAGATATATATGTTTTGGACTATCAATGGAGGATAATTATGATTGTTGTAGAAATTGCATGAGAATTAAGTGAATTGAAACTAATTTTCTCATCCAATTGCATTGAATGTTGTTACATCTTTAATACATTGTAAATGTATGATATTTAAAAGGAGAAAGGGGATGTACTCCATTAAATTAAGTTGGCCGAAGTGTCCAGTGTGAAAGTCCTGAAAACCACGAGTATATATGGGTGCCGATTCCTGCGGTTGAAAAATCCGTAAAATGGCAAATAGAAGTGTTTGTATGATGATTGTATTTGTTAGAGACCCACTGAGTTGTATCATTAGTTTGGTTGTCTGAATAAAATGAAAATGACTGATGAATGGAGACAAAATGGATCGAGATATAAATTCGACATAGTATGATTTTGCAAAAGAGTTATATATGATTTTAATCACGCACATTGTAGGTGCATTTCACCATTATATCTTTGTTAAGATTCATATATTGTGTTAGATTATTTCTACTGGGCTTTGGCTCACCCTATTTGGGAAAAACTATTTTTAGATGCTGGTGATATGCCTTTACCAAGGACTTAGCTTGGGAAGACTGTGTAGCTAAAAGCTCAGTTCTGTTCTTTTGTATTCATTTTGTTTAAGCCTAGGGCTTTCTTTTTTTTGAGTTTAAGACTCACTTTGATGTATCCAAGCCTTGACTTGGAAAGATGTAAGCCTTTAGGGCATATGATCATCTGTTTAACTTTTATTTCTTTTACTGCTTAGTGACACATGTTGTAGATTCATGATGTATTATTTATGAATGTATATCGCATCTGTTACCCTTTTGTACAACCGAATCTTATGTAATAGAAGTACATTATACTCTAATTCATATTGTTATTTACTTATGGTTTCGGATGGTATATTTCATTTATTTCGAGGCGTTACAACTTGATATCAGAGCGTACCGGGTTTAAATACTTTGGTTATTGTGGAAGCGGTAACTACCACAATGGGTTTGTCTCGCTTGATAAAGACATTAGTATGTATGATATGCTATGTGATAACATGTTTATATGATTATATGGGTATGAGATTTAATTCCTAAGATATTGATTAGGTTTACGGGTTTCTAAAAGTCCTGTTAGAAGAGCACTTGATCACTGCTGTTTCTAATCGGAACTCTGGCAATGCAGTGGGACGGTCGTTATCTAGGAAGGAAATTTATATGTGTTTATGTGACTATGTACATACGTGGAGTGAATTATTGTTCTCTACTGTATTATGACGTGAGTGAATTAGCTTCGGCACATTTGTAAATGTGCTAATCTCCTTTATTACCTTCATTAGGATGTTAGAACGTGGACGTGGTGGTGGTAGGCATGGTAGGCATGGTAGGCCTAGAAGGCAAGAGGTGCCTTTATCGGATGAGATTTCGGTGCAAAAAGAAAGGGTTAGTCAGGCCAATGTGGCCGAACCAGTTGGTCATCAGGCATATAGAGTAGAGTAAACCCAATGTGTTTAAAGAAAATTGTGATACTTGAGAAAAT